GGGAGAAAATTTGAAACTCAAAAGTTTATGGAAGTGAATGTTGAAAACTAAAAATAAATTAATTTAAAAAAGAATTAGTAAAAGGAATATATTATATGAAGAGCTAAAGTTTACTTTTAAAACACTTAACACAATGTACCTGTTATTATCATTATTATTACTATTATTATTATTGTTGATTATCTTACCTTAGGTATAACTAAAAGTAAAAATCATAGCATGAAGATAAAGAAATAAAGGTTTAATCTATTTAAGACTCAAAAAAAGAAATTAGACTACTTGGTTTTGTATCCTGGTTTATATTATGTTAATTGTATCCTTTTAATGTATACAAAGCACTAAGCTGAGGAGGCCTGGTCCCAATTTGTTATGCAATTGGTATATGTTGTTTAATAAATTGATGTGCTTGGAAGCATGAAAAAAAAAGAATCTTACACTGTGTGTGTTAGAGGGTGGGGATTGGTGGGTTAAAGGGAGATGTGTCAGGGCAATAGAAACACAGTTTATATGGGATAGATATGATATATGAAATACATATGTACATATAAGATATATATTATAAAAATGAGATATGGATGTGTATGCATATATTCATACATTCACACATACACATATATAATATACATTCATACATGCATTAATATATAGGTATATGTGTGTATGAATGTAACCCCAGTCCCAAAGCCCATTGGTATGGGACTGTCCTCATTGATGGAAAGCAATGCCCTGTACCTACATGAGAGGTAGAGTTGGGGAGAGAGAGAGAGAGAGAGAGAGAGAGAGAGAGAGAGAGAGAGAGAGAGAGAGAGAGAGAGAGAGAGAGAGAGAGAGAGAGAGAGAGATTCCCTCTTTGCATGCTCCAGAGGGTCTTCTTCAGCTCTCTTCAGTCTTTGTAGTCACTTTGGACACTTCTGGCTTCCAGCTTTGAGAGAAACAATGGAAGATTTCAACCCTACTTTGGGTTGCTGAAGGAAAAGATATAAGAGGAGCTGGCAGACTCTAGAGATTAAGGGGAACTTCTTGCATGAGATCTAGGTGACTCTCTCTCTGTTAAGCTGAGTTACCTTGACCCAATGGGATAACTCCTTCACTCTGTATTGTCCGGCATATATTTCCATATGTATACTTTCTCTGACTTCCATTTGGCTACCAATTTGTATAAATGGGCTTCTTGGCTAAGTGTTATGTTTGTTCATTTGGGAGCTGAAATTTGGTGATAAAAGGGTCAAGCTGTGAATGTAAAGCTTGAGGCTCTACTACTCCCGCTAATGAAACAGCAATCAGAAGTCTAGCCTGAACCTTAAAATTGCATCCCCTAGACTACCAATGGGCATCTCAGTGGATACAGTGCTGGGCCCGATGTCAGGAAGACTCATCTTCCTGAGTTCAAATCTGCCCTCAGACACTTACTAGCTGTGTGACCCTAGGCAAGTCACTTAACCCTATTTGCCTTAGTTCCTCAACTACAACAGGAGCTGGAGAAGGAAATGGCAAACCACTCCAGTATCTTTGTCAAGAAAACCCCAGATGGGGCAGCTAGGTGGCGCAGTGGATAGAGCACTGGCCCTGGATTCAGGAGGACCTGAGTTCAAATCCAGCCTCAGACACATAACACTTACTAGCTGTGTGACCTTGGGCAAGTCACTTAACCCCATTGCCTAGACAAAAAAACAAACAAAAAACCTCCAGATGGGGTTACAAAGAGTAACACAATATTTACAACTCTGCCCTAGCCCCCAGGGACATAAATAAGATTTTTGTAATATAATGAAACATATTCAATCATATTACATCTAATATTTTGGTGAGAGCAAAGAGGGTTTTGTACTATTCATATGAAATTTATATTTTACATGTTTGTCATATATATGATTTGCTAGTATAGTGGTACATATGTGTAGTTTATAAATAAATAAGTACATATTGAGGATGCATACTGAACAACTTTAAAAATTTTTTACTAGTAGAGGTACAAGATTTTTAAAATTTTGGAAATTGTTGGTCTATAGGGTAAAATACAAGCTTCTCAGTTCCTATTTGCCTTATTTCTATACTATTTGCTTTCACAAGCTACATTCCAGATGAACTGTATTGCTAGCTGTTGTCTAAAATTTAAACTCTATCTGCCCCCATGAATTCATGCAGACCGCTCCCCCCACCACACATACACACACCCCCTTTCCACATCTGGAACACTCTCCCCTCTCATCTCCACCTCTGAATCCTTCAAGGCTCAGCTCAGAGGCATCTTCTTGTGGATACCTTTCCTAAGCTCTCCACTTGTTAGTGGTCTGTCCTTCCTCAGTTTTCCTTGTACTATATTCATTAGTATATAGACTACATAAGCTCCTTAGCCAGTTTTATTTTTTTAATCTTTACATCCCCAAATGTCTTGCACATAGTAGGTCCTTCATAAAGGATCTGTGGAATTGGATGCAATTGAAGTACTTGAAGGCAGTTATCCCTTCTCAATCAAGTTTTCCCTTTTGTCAGATAAAAATCCCCAGTTTCTTCAACTATTCCTCATACGGCACAGTGGTCTTCAGTTCCCAAGCCATCCCCTGGTCACCTCCTTTGGATTCACTCAAATTTGTCGGTGTCTTTCTGAAAATAGTATTCCAGAACTGAAAAAAAAAATACTCCAAACATGGTCTGCCCAGAGAACAGTATCATGTCACTTCCAATTCATTCCCACATACATCTTTTCATGGCCTCTACATATCAGGCACTCTTACTTACCAGCCTAAGAGCACCACTCCGTAGGGATTGCCCTCTGACCATGCTTTCCTCATCCTTAGCTTGTTGACTTTTTAAAACCCAAGTTGAGGTCTTTGCATTTGTCACTATTTTTGGTTTGATTAGTTTCCACTCATCTTTCTAGTCTACCAAGATCTTTCTGTATCCTGCCCTGTTGTCCCATAGGTTAACTCTCCTTCCCAGCTTTGTATCACCTGCAGTTTTACAAGCTTCCATCTAAGCCATCCTATGAGTCGTTAATAAAAGTATTGATGAGAACAGGAGCAAGAAAATAACTGGGAGGCATGGAAACATTATTATAAATGGGAATTGGGCTCTATAAATACAATTAATACAATAGTTCAGGTACATCCTCAGTTAACTATGCTTTTGTGGACTAGAAGGAGAAAACAGATAATACTTTCGCTACCTATCCTTTAGGGTTTGTTGTGAGGATCAAATGAGCTAATATATGTAAAGTGCCCTGCAGACCTTAAAGTAATTTATAAATAATAACAACTGATATATTTATATAGCACTTTAAAGTTTTATATAGTACTTTACACACATTATTTCATTTGGTCCTAACAATAATCCTTTGAAGTAAGTGTTAAAGTTATTATGATCCCTGTTTTCCCAATGAGGTCATTGCTGTTATTAGGTCAGCTCCTCTTTTTTTATGACATTGTTTCTATGGGGAAAATGCGTTCCAAGTTCCAAACAACTGGCTTACAAACTTTGGAAATATTGCCTATGGGTAAGTTGGTGTCTGCTTATATGTTATGTTACATTATGATCTGTTGTATTCTATTATAAACTGTCACAATGCTCAGTGCCCTAGGTCACCTTGTGTTCCCCTGGATAATCTTCCCAAAAAGAAATTAGGGGGAGTTCAGAAGCCCACAGTTTACATAGATACCTTATAGGAAATTGAATCTAATCTCAGCCTTTTCATCGTTGCTCATATCCTCCTAGTATCTGGGGGCGGAGATGGGAGGGGGATGATGGAATACACTATTAGCCAGGACACAGCACAACCCTTAGACACAATCTTTCTTATACCTAGTCCAAGTTCAAAGCCAGGTCTTCAAGATGTAATATATGCTCTGAAACCCACTCACTGCTAAATACCATGGACAGATAAAAACTTTCCTTCTCACATAAAATTCACTCCCCAAACCTTTTCACTCTCCAATCTGTCACACACCCACTAACTGGTTAATTACTCTAAGGTTTGTCTTTTAACCACCTAATAACTGATATCAGCCCTACGGTTACATTCTTCCGTTCCCAAATACCCATGTGGACTTCCAGGCACTTTTTCTGTGACATAGTGTCTAGGAGAGTCATCTGAAACATCAAGTGGCTTGCCCAAAGTCAGTACATGTCAGAAGTGGGATTGGAACTCAGATTTCCTAGCTGTATCATGCTACCTTTCTTAATATGTGATATGGCACAATGTAATGTAAGAGAAGCATTGTTTCATAGTGAATGGAGGACCAGCTTTGAAGTCTGGGTTCAAGAGCTTCCTCTCTGTGACCAACTAGTTGTCTGACCATGAGCAAGTCACTTAACTTTTCAGCATCCTGCGCAACTCTCTAATACTCCAGGTTGCCCAGCCTAATTAATGGAGGAAGTTTCCACTTTGGGAATTTGCTGCATTTATGAAATCACAGTTCTGGACAATTTCTACAGTTATACACACATGTACAAAAGCACACAAAATTCTATATTAGTATTAATGTAGATAGCCTACATATATATATATATATATATATATATATATATATATATATATATATATATATGGGCAATGATTATCTTAAGAAAATATTTTATTATTTTTATTTTCAAAATATTATTCTCCATTGTATTTTAATGGACTATATTCGTGTGCACCCAAAATGTCTAGGGAAGTGAACAAATTATCATAATTATTGTTATCATCATTGGTGGGGAGGAGGGTAGGTGGAATTGTTTTAGACTGTGGAATTAGTGAAATGTTTTTTTGAAGTATTTCCCTCTGATATTTTCAGTAATGAGTGTTACATAATGCAAATATTTTTCTGAATGACTATTTTGGCTATCAAGGTAATACAAACATTTTGATAATCACATGTTCCTGATTTTGAATTTCATCGTACAACTCTGAAATATTCCATTTGCTGTCATAGACATGACCCAATTTGTATTTCTCCTTTCAGATATGTGGATTTGTGGATCTTTCTATCTCCAATTAATATCCATCTTTTATATCCTGATAGGAGAAGTCTTCAGTTCAAAAATCAACAAAACGAATGAATTATGAAATAGAAGAGAGTAACAATCTTGTACCTCTTCATAAAAAGGTAAATTGTAGTGTGTATATTATTCCTTGAGTTGCTGTAGAGTAGTGATTTTCCCTCCTTTGAATGGAGTGGTGAGGGGCACAGGGTTGGAACATACTGTCCTTTGATTTTCCAATACACTTCACCAAAAGTAAAATCCTTTATTTATATCAAAAAGCAAGTGGATCGCTTCTCTTGGGAATCACTATAGAAAAAAAATAAAAGTGAACTGTTTATGTAGATTGTGATTTATACCTGAGAAGGGAGAGCAGTGAACTAGTTCCACAGGAATGACATTGCTCGTTAAATGCCGTGGAATTGTTTAAAGCATGCTCTTGGGGAAATCACAATGTAGTGGAAGAAATAGAATCCACATATAAGAAACTATTGAAGTATGCTTACACAGCAATATCTCAAGAACAGCAAATGAATGAAATATAAACTCAAGTCACTTAGTCAGTCAACAAGCTTTCATTAAGTCTCCTATGTGTCAGGCACTCTGCTAAGTGATACCTCCCTTGAATGATAGTTATCAGTCTTATCTCCTCTACTATATTCCTTGAGGACCTTGCTTTATTCATCTCTGTCCTCTACAGGGCCTTGCAGTTAGAATGTGAAATGGAAAAGCATTTATAAAGTGCTTACTATCGGCTACAAACTATGTTAAGTACTGGGGATACAAGCAGAAAAAAACAAGACAATCCCTACTCTCAGGGAGCTCACATTCTAACTAGGGGAGCTAATACATATTAGGAGGGTTCAACTGCCAGGCAAATAGAAAGACCCAGTCAATCTTAGGGTGCAGAGACAGGCCAGATGAAAAAACTCAGGGATCCTTGGGGTATAATGGCAAGTCAGATGGCAATACCTGGATGTCAGAAGAGCATAGTGACAGGCCCGATGGAAAGACCTGTTGGACTTTAGGAAACAAAGGCATATTCTTGAGGGCCTCTGTTAGTTATGTATTGCTTTGTCATAATACTTGTATTGTAATGATCTATGTATTTTATGTTACTTTTTCAAGTCTATACCTTCCCAAACTATATTATAAACTCCTTTGAGGGCAAAGAACAGGTCTTAAATTTCTTTGTATGCCCCATAGTGCCTGGCACAAGGCCTAGTACAGAATAAGTGCTTATAAATATTTGTTGATTGAGAGAGCACCCTGAAAAACAATACACAATAAAGAAAAACAAAATTCTGACCTAGTTTCTATACTATTTTAGTACTCTTCCTGTAGTGTGCCAACAGCATGCCAATATAGGATTTATATAGACAGATCTTCTCTGTACCATGTGAAAGAATATTTTATACAACTTAACTACTTTTGCACAAGAACCCAGGCCTCTTCAATCAAGTTCAGTGGCCTATATTTCTCTTCCTATCTGGATCAGTTTTATATGGGAAAATCAAATATAGTTCCAGGCTTGCCAGTGGGCAAAAGCAGTGGTGTCAAATTCAAATAGAAATAAGGACACTAAACCATATATGAGGATCCCTGTGGCATTTTTAACTTATGTTTATAGATTTTTTTTTGTTAATGTGTCAACACGTTAAAACCACATAAATCCATTTTAATCTGGTACCCTGGCACTTGGGAGTGTTGTGGACCCCATGGAGCCCACAGGCAGCGTGTTTGATACCTTTGGTCTAAGGCACCCTCAGGAAGCCTTGCCAGGGCTTTAGCTCCTCCATTGAAGGTAAAGGGTACAAAATTCAAGGAATATCTAGTCCTATAAGGTGACCTTTAGATCATCCAGGTTTCTTTTTGGATAGAATATTTAAGAATAGGCTATATTTCATCATCCTGTTCACTGGTTTATTGATCTTATGATGATAAGTATAATGATGTTAAACTTGAATGTTTTGTAGACTATTAAACAGAAAAACTTTCTTACAGTGGGGATTATGAGATGCTAAATTAGTCTTTTAAAGCTATTTTATTGAATTGTTTTCCTTGGAGACTTAAAAATATTGAGCCACCATATTTTCTAATTTGAGGTAGGTGTTGTCTTGCCAGAAAGCAAGAGGAAAGGATGGGAAGGGGGAGGCGCTACATCACCTCCAAAAATTCTGTCAGTTCTTAGGTTATTTACAGAAGGAATTGGAAGAGTTCAAACAAGAAGTGAAAAGTACTCCTCATTGTAGCATACCCAATAAGCAGTCATTCATCCTTTGCTTAAAGATGTCTATTTACATAGAACTCACTACCTCCCAAGGCAGGTCATTCCATTTGTGGATAGCTCTAATTGTTCATCAAGCTTAAATTTGCTTCTTTATAACTTCTACTGTCCTCTAAAGACAACAAATCTAATCTCTCTTCCACATTGACAAGCTTTCAAATATATAAACATGGCTATCATATTCCTCTTATGTTATAGATTGGTAGAGATCTGTATTTGTGAACAGATTTCCCCTATATAATTTTAGTCCTTAGCATCCTACCAATCCTTTCTCTGAACCCACTGAAATCTCCTTTCCCACAGTTTCGGGCACATGTGAGGTGCCTATGGGTGCTTATTTTTTCCACTCCTTCATCATACATAAACTCTATTAGAGAGTGGTCATTTCTCCCCAAAATTCCCCTTAGCTCCATCCCAGCAATCCGTTCCCCTCTGTTACTGAAAATCAGAACCAGCATAGAATTTACTCTTATTGATTTATCTATAACAACGGGCATTAATTTATTAAACACTTACTGTGTATTAGCTCCTGTGCTAAGTGTTGGAGAGCCAAAGAAAAGGGGAAGACAGTACATTCTAAAGGGAGATATGTGTGCATAAATAGGTATATACAAGATATATGCAGGATAGATACAAGGTAATATTATAGGAAAAGGCACCAGCAGCTGGGGGTGGGGGCGGGGTGGACTGGAAAAGATCTCCCTCTAAAGGAAACTGTTTAAGCTGAGTCTCGGAGGAAGCCAGGGATTCTAAGAAGTGAAGATGAGAAGGGAGAGCTTACCATGTATAGGAGACAGCTGATATGAAGACACAAAGGTGGGAGGGAGTTATTTTGGGTCAGGAACAAAATATTGGCTATTTGGACCACAGAGGGCATGGAAGGGAGTAATTTAAAGAAACTGGAAAGTTAGGGAGGGGCTAAGTTCTGGAGAGCTTTAAATGCCAGAGTTTATATTTGATCCTAGAGGAAATTGGGAACCACTGGAGTTTATTAAGTAGGGAGGGTGGCATGGTGAGATCTGTATTTTAGGGCAATCACTTTGGCAGCTATATGGTTGATAGACTGGAGTAGGGGAGACCCTTGGAGTTTGGAAAATAATTAGGAGGGTATTACAATAGTTTAGAGATTAAAAAGCCTGAACTAAATAGTGGTAGAAAGGGACATAGAGAAAGATATTGTGGAGATTGAAACTACTACAAAATTTAGCAACTGTGATTAGCTATAGGGTGAATGAGAGTGAGATATTGAGGATAACATCAAGATTGTGAACTTAGGTGACTACAGGTATGATGGAGCTATCAATAATAATTGGGAAGTTTGAAAGAGGAATGGGTTTTGAGGTAAAGATAATGAGTTTTGTTCTGGAAATAACTGAGTTTGAGATGCTTATAGGACATCCAGTTCGTAATGTCCAGTATATAGCTGGTAATCACAAAGTGGAAGAGTATAGAGAGGAAAGAGAAGAAGACAGAGCTTTACAGGACATCCTTAGTCAGCAGGTATGACATGGATGAAAAGCCAGCAAACAAAAAGCAGGGTCAGCAGGCCAAAAGAAAATGAAGAGAGAGCAGTGGCATGAGAGCCCAGAGGGGAGGGAGTATCCAAGAGAAGGTGGTCCACAGTGTCAAATGATAGGAGAGGACTGAGAAAGGTCCATTAGGCCATGTCCATTTAAAGGCCTTTGGTAGCTTTGGAGAGAGCATTTTCAGTTAGTTGATGAGGTCAGAAGCAGAAGTGCAGAGGGTTTTGAAGAGAGTGAAAGAATAGAAAGTAGAGGCACTGAGTGTAAATGGCTTTTTCAAAGAGTTTAACTTAGAAGAAGAGAGATGGTAAGTTCTCAAGAGGGCTTTTTTAAGGTTGGGGGAGACTTGGACATGTGTAAAGGCAGCAGGGAAGGACTGTATAGTTAAAGAGAGATTGAAGATTAGGGTCAAGGTTGATGGTGGGGGCAATCTGATGGAAAAGATGAGAAGGGACAGGACAAAGAGTCTAGGGAAAGTGGTTGACCTTGGCAAAGAGAAAGACTTCCTCTTTCCTGAAGACTGGAACTTAGGATGAGACAGTGAGAGGTGATGTCAGGGGAAACTGACATGATAAGGAGAGAAAAGGGAGCTTGTGACAAATGGCAGCAGTTTTTGGAAGGTTGAAGAATTACAGTTTTTGGAAAGGAAAATAAGGTGCTATTTAGAGGACGTAAAAAGAAAACCATAGACCTCATAAAACTCTCTCTCTTTTAGTTATCTTCAGTTCATTCTGTGGATGGTGATATTGACATCTATTATCCTGATCCCAGCACTCACAGAGGAATAAGGTACTTTTTTGAAATGTAGGAAAGAACTATATGCAGGAAATACAGAATGAACTAATTTTTTCTGTCATGTCCCTCTTATTGCCAGTTTCTAATGTCCCCAGAGTTAATCAGATCCTTGGATCCATTAAAGAGAAGTTGGAAGGGGAGATAAGTGTCACTTACTGTTAGCACCTCCGATTTCAATCTGAGATGCTAAAGGTGCCTCCCTAAAACAGAACTAGCGAAGGAAGACAGCCCAGATGTTCAGAATTTTGGTCCTTAAATTCATATATTCATAGTATTCCAGATACAACCATACCCCGACCTGGACTCCTGAACCCCAACTAATATAATAATCAAGTCTTTATTTCCTCTTCTGTCCTTTCATCCTACTCTGTTATTAAGGAAATAGCCTGAGACAATGGAGCATCCTTTTTTGGGACAGAGTCCCCAAGGGCTGATGAATTTATAATTTTTAAAACTGAATTAATTAAAAATGATTTGCCCTAAGATCGTTAGTTAATAAATAGTAGAGCTGAGACTAGAACCCAGTACTTTTGAATTACTGCATATTCTTCTTCCTGTCCTTGAAGAAGGGAAAATAGAAGTGGTTAACTTAAGAGAAAGCTCAGCTTCACTCATTTTTCCATCCTTGAGTCTTATGTAGAGCAAAATTTTATAGTTCCTTGGTTTCTGAACAAAATATGTAAGGCATCTTGGATGTATATAGCCCTATGTCTCCTGTGTCTCACTGTGGAATGACGCAGATCATCATAGGTACTCAGAGGCTATCCCAGCAGAGTACAGTGTCTGGTAGGGTCCATAAAGCTTTAAAAGCTTTTAGTATCCCTTCACTAAAGGGTTTATCTGCTAAGGATTGGCCTACCTAAATACAAAGATGCTAAGCAGTGGAAGATTATCAATAGAAGATGAATTCTTTGGCCAAGAAAACCTATGCATTGGATTTTTACCAGCACATGCCCATACTGGAGGTAGGCACTAATATAACTAAAAATATAGAACCCTAAGGAAAATGTTTAGAAAAGAGTACCAGCCCTTAGTAAACTGTAAAATAAACAGGCACAAAGTCCCCAACCCATTCCTAATTGCAATGCAGGAGGTTATTTGGACAGATTTGTTTTATTTCATTTTTTGCCAATTAAAGAGAAAATGAAGGGCCTCCCTTGCAGAGATATTCCACTGGCTTTTGTAATTTTCCCATGGGGAACAGAGCCCCCTAAATAATAAATTGTCAACACACTGAGTGACAGATTATCAACATCTATAGATACTAGTTTGGAGAATTTAGTTCAGGTGAGCACTGTGTGCAGATGATATGTTTTAGGGAATATTAGCCATCTCTGATAACACCCTTGAATGAGCAGAAATCTTAAGTAGAAAAACCACTGAAGGACCCACAGTTGTAGGTGTGAAGGACCCTTCAATGTCTAGTCCCAAAGCTTTGCAAAGGGTGTTTGTGTAGTAGCCATGTAGATAGACAGATAGATAGATAGATAGATAGATAGATAGATAGATAGATAGATAGATGATAGACACATGTCACAGAGATCCACCAACATTTTCACAGGATTACCATAAGAAGACCATTAAAAACTAAAAGAGAGGATTCACGAACAATGTTGGAAGATGTGAAAATTGTAGAAAAGAAAATAGGCGTGATTTCGGTCGCCTTTATAATTGCTGTATTGTTCATTTTCACCGTGATACTTTTTGTCTACTTAATCATGGAAAAGAAGGTAATCACAGTTTAGTTCCGTCCAGTAAGACAAGTGTGAAGACAACAACCAGTGGGCTCCTGAGTGAGCAGTGTACCATTCTCTCTTTCTTCAGTAAAAGGACTCAGAGCAACTTTGGAATTAGAACACTCAAGTAAAAAGCCAAATCCAGTGACTATGTGGTCTTCCTTTGAAAGTGTACTGCTTTAAAAAAAAGGAAGGGAAAAAAATACACTGCTAGGTAATTTATCCATATGCCTATGTCAGGATACAGGAAAGCAAATGGCACAGAGTAACCTTTTCAGGATGGAGAACAAAATTAAGAAATCGCTCTATATTCTTTACTGCACCTACTTATTAATATACTTCTGGATTTTGTAGGTTTATGAAAAGTAGAATGCTGTTATTAAGCATGGGAATAAGCTATGCATGATATTTCCTTTATTCCTAAAATGATCTGGTCAAACATGCATACTTCTTTTGTTAAGAGCCATTCACAGAATTGTGAAATTCATAGTCATTTGATAACTAATAGTAATAAACTTTGATCTGCTCATGGCAATAGTGATCACAAAGCATCCTTAGAGAGACATCACCAATATATTTAGTCTTTGCTAATTTCTTCTTACGATTTGAAACTTTTATGACATGAAAAAACATTTGAAATGATTAACACTATACCCAGAATCTTATGTCTCTTTCTCCATCCAGAAATTCCTAAAATTAGCAAACTGTTATTTATGGAATTCCCAATCAAATTTGTCCAAGTATTTATGCTTAGTAATTTCTAGGTATGCAGGCAGCATTGACTTTGTAAGTATCCCTCCTTACCTTACAGTAAATCCTTCACTAAAAGTTTTTCTCTGTCTGATTGTCAAATATTTACATGTTATACAGACCAAAGTAGTTAGAATCCATCCTGTTACGTTTACTTTGGTGCATTTTGTTTTACTGTGCTTGTATATGGAGAAATGAATGACATTCTGTTGTGTGTAATGTTTAAATCTTTGCAAAGCCTACCTTCAGGTTGATAGACTGAAGAAAATTTAAAAAACTCTTTTTCTGTTTTTCTTAATTCACAGAAACACTATGTACTATCTCATAATGGGTTAAGTACCAAATTATTTTCATTGCTGCAATACTAATGGTAAATGAAGAAGTACCAAACTGTGTTTATTATGGCCGATAGCAGGACTTATGCAGACAAAAGAACTAAAGGCTATTGATACTTGGGCTTTATTTAATGGGAGAAAAAAAATCTTGTTGATTTAAGAATGTCTTAGAATTGAGCCTTCATGGAAAGTTAAAACTTACTCTTTCCTGAAACAATAATTTATCTCCTACTCTAATTTAAGAAAACACTAACCTGCTCAGAGGCAGATTTTGAGGAGAAAATTCCCACAAGACCTTGGATAGTGGGAGACAAGGGCTTTAGCATACTAATTCATCTGGTTCTGAGCTGACCTTGCTTAGGATGAAATGACCCTACAAAGAGGTGAAGGAGCCATCCGTCAGTTCTGCCTTTCTTCAGAGTACATTTCATGCTAGCTCGTTTTTTAGCAAAGCAGGTAAATGAAGAGAGAGAAAAACGTGTGTAGGTGTTGCTATAGGAAAAATTGATATTGATAGGGTGAATTTTCTACTGTTGTACAACCTCATTCATGGAAAAATGATAGTTACATTGTGTGGGCAGTTTCCTTGTGTGGGCAGTAACCTAAACACAGTCCCTGACTAATGCAACCTTCTCTGAGGAATTAGAAGGGTACTATTCTAGGTACAATGCAAAAGTAGCTTGAGGACATTACTACTATATTCCTAGGCAACAACAGAATGGCATTTTTGGTGCAGTTCCAAGGAATCCCATTGTAAAATCTCCCTCACTCCAGAGCTGGGGATCATCTGTAAATATATGTAAGCTCCTGTAGGGCAGAGACTGTCTTTTTTTGTTCTTGTTTTCTGTTTTGTTTTTTGCATCTCCAGCTTAGCAGAATGCTTGCATTTAAGAAGAGCTTATTCAATTGACTGAATTCAGGTGTTAAATGTAGGTAAAGGTTTGTTCAGATAAATATGGATTTATATATAAGCGTATAGGTATATTCAGGTATAGATAGGCCTATTTAGGTATATGTATGTAAACATGTTTTTATATACACACACAGATAGATGGATAGATAGATAGATAGAGTTTTGATTAGAAAGCAGACCGTTTCTATTTCATAAGATTGATAAAGGAGATAAAGGATGGTCCACTATCAAACAAAAAAAAAAGAGCTAATATTTATATAACACTTTAAAATTTATAAAGCTGTTGTTGTTCAGTCGGTTTTCACTTGTATCTAACTTTTCATGACCTATTTGGGGTTTTTTTCAGCAAAGATATTAGAGTGGTTTGCCATTTCCTTCTCCAGCTCATTTTACAGATGAGAAACTGAGGTAAACAGGGTTAAATGACTTGCCTAGGGTCACATAGCTAGTAAGTGTCTGAGACCGGATTTGAACTCAGGAAGATGAGTTTTCCTGGCCCAGAGCTCTATCCACTGATATACCTAGCTGCCTACAAAGCTTTACATATGCTATCTTTCTAAATTAACTTAAAAATTTTTTTTCAATTAACAAGAATCCATTTTCTCTCTGACTTACCTCCCTCTACCACTGGAAAAAAGAAAAGAAAAGAAAAAATGACATCATTATAATATATGTATAGTCAAAACAAATACCCATGTTGGCCATGTCTAAGAAAATATACACCCTAAATCCTTCCTCTCTGTGTCAACATATTTCTCGTGGTCTTCTGGAATTGTGATTAGTCATTGCACTGATCAGAGTTCTTAAGTCTTTCAAAGTTATTTGTCTTTACAATGTTGTTATCATGTAAATTATTCTAATTCTTCTCACTTCACTTTGCATCTGTTCATATAAGTCTTCTCAAGTTTCTTTTTCATATTATATGTATATAAATATATATTTGTTATAATGGTTTTGTCCTTATTTTTTTCAGTGAAGGGGAGGTAGGAGAGAGAAAAATGAATTTATCTTTTAATGTTTTATTTTTTCCCTCCTCCCACCTTTTCCTTCCCATTTTCAGGGAATAAAAAAAAAGAAAAGAAAAACAAAACCCTTGTAATAAATATGTCAAGCAAAACAAATTTCCACATTGGCCATGCCAAAAATGTATGTCTTATTCTGCATATTAGTCCTTCACCTACCTCTGTCAGGAGGTGAGTAATATGTTTCATCATGAGTCTTCTGAAATCATGGCTGGTCATTGTGTTAATCAAAGTTCTTAGGTCTTTCAAAACTGTTTGGTGAATTGTTTCTCTTTTTCTTTATTTCTTTATTTCTTACAGCACAACAGCATTTCATTTCATTTCACTCATATGCCATAATTTATTCAGCCATTGATATGTACCCTCTTAGTTTCCAGTACTTTGCCACCACAAAAAGAGCTGCTATAAATATTTTTGTACATTTGAGACCTTTACTTCTTTCTTGGTGTCTCTGGGATATAGACCTAGTAGTGGTACCCCTGGGTCAAAGGGATACAGATTAGTAACTTTGGGGGCATAGTTCCAAATTACTTTCCAGAATGGCTGGCCTAATTCACGGCTCCATCAGCAGTGGATCAATGTTTCTGTCTCTCCCACTCCCCTCCTCCCCACACCTCAGCCTTCCAATATACTCCCTCCAACATTTATCATTTTCCTTTTCGGTCAACTTTGCAAATCTAATGAATATAAGGTAGAACCCCAGGGTTATTTTAATTTGCATTTCTCTACTAGTGATTTGGAGCATTTTTCGTATGGCTACTGGAAGCTTGGATTTTACATATATAGTCCCATTCGGGTCTCATAACTGCCCCAGGAGATATATACTATGGGTATTTCCCCCCCTTTTAAAGCTGAAGAAATTGAGGCTCCGAAAGGTCTTTCTGATTCCACGTGTAGCATGCTATCTACCACACCAGGCTGCCTCTCCAAAAGACAGGAATTAATTAAATAAGGAAATCTGTGCTACTGGAAACAAATGGTTCCACTTAGAATATCAGAAAGACTAACATTCCTACCAACTCTATAGGGATTAAACCTTTGTCTACAGAGGCAATTTCTGAGGATCATTGAGATGTGATAAAAAAAAAAGCGCTGGACTGAACTAGGAATTAAGAGAACTGGGATCTGTTACTCAGGGTCTATATGACTTTAGGCAAAACTCTTAAGCAATCTGAGCCTCCGTTTCCTCATGTGTAAAATGATTTGATGACATCTTGAGGCCCCTTCCAGCTCTAAAATTCTATGATTCTATGATATAGAAAACTAAGCAATTGTCTACTGGTTTTGTTCAATGTAGGTTATTAATCTGTCACTCCCTCAGGAACAGTTTGCATATATCATAATGCTTGGATAATTCCCTGAATTGTCTACTTCATATTGCTTCTGTGGATATACCGAGAGTGTGGGCAGGAACTCCTGAAGGAGATGATAATACCACACATTTATAAAGCACTTTAAATTTTGCAAAATGTTTTCCTCACAGCAACCCAAGGTAGGTAGTGTAAGTATTACTCTTTCATTTTTACAGATGAAAAAAACTGAGGCTCTGAGAGGGAAGAGACTTTGCCTATGATCAACCACCTAATGAGTGTCTGAGATGGGAGTCAAACCCAGATCTTCTAACTCCATGCCTGGTATTCTATTCCCTATGCCACACTGGCAAACTCTCCTGGCAAAATCAGTCAGAAAGTTTAGGGAATTATCAAAGCTGAAAATTCTCTTTCCTCTATGTGAGTTTTAATTCCCCCAATTACTTACGTGTCTTTGCTATTAGGGACTTAGTCAAGAGTACTTAAGACTGGGCACACTTTGTAAAACTGTGTTTTGATTTCTGTTTGGAAACCAGTATGGCATAATACTAAATGCACTGAACTTGTCAGAAGCCCTGTGTTCAAAATCTGATTCTGACATTTATTAATTGTGAAACTTGGGGCAAGTCACAACCTTTCTATTCCTCTGTTCCCTCATTTGCAAAATGGGCCTAATAATATTTGTACCACAATTTAACAGCTTATGAGGATAGTGCTTCATTAACCTCATGGCAGTACAAAAATGTGTTGTTATTATTACCTTCCAAAAGCATTTGCTATTCCGCTTTGGACAAAACCTTGTCCATAATTCAGACAGT